TTACCCCAATCAACTAGAAAACCTGGCAAAGAGAATCTGATCTAAGTGAATTCCCCACCCATTGTATATCCTATTCAGATAGGCTTGTGTGGGGAGTAGCTCCTTTGGCCTGGATTGCCCAAGGCCAACTGGGGGTGGTCTAGGTAAAGAGGAGTAAGAGTGACATAATCAAAGTCATAATCTCCAGCGCCTCATTAGAATAGATCCACCTCTTATTATAATATTCATTCTCTAATTAACTGTTAACCAATAAGAGTTAACTGGGAAAACACCCATTCTTCCAAAAGCATATTAAGGTTGAGAGGCCTAAATGATTCCTCTTTGGTTTATGAGAGAAAGTGAAAATATTTTATTAATTATTTGCTGGTCATAATTAATTACTCAGAAATTATGTCTCTTTGACTCTTCATACATCATACTTTATATTTCTCCTGGATCTTACATGTCAAAATTTCCATTAAATTCTGCCCTTTTTGTCACAAATACCCAGAAGTATTCAATTTCTTAAATGTCTTTTTTTTTCATTCAGGATTATACTTTACTTTGCTGGGTAAGTTACACTTGGTCATAATCCTAGCTCTTTTGTTCTATGATATATAGTCTTTCAAAACCTACAATCCTTCAATGAAGAAACTGCTAGGTCTTGTGTAATTCTGATTATGACTCCACAATATTTAAATTGTTTTCTTCTTGTTGCTTGCAATATTTTCTCCTTAACCTGGGAGCTTTGATATTTGGTTATGATATTCTTATAAGTTTTCCTCCTGGGATCTCAGGTGGTGATAGGTAGATTTTTCTATTTCTGCTTTACCTTCTTTTTCTAGAACTTCAGGGCAATTTTCCTTGATAATTTCTTGTTATATTGTATTGAGATTCTTTTTTTCTTCTAATCATAACTTTCAGGTAGTCCTACAATTCTTATATTGTCTCTCTTCAATCTGTTCTCCAGATCAATTGTTTTTCTGTTGAGATGTTTCACATTCTCTTCTTTTTTTTTTCATTTTTTGGTTTTGTTTTATTATTTCTTGGTGTCTTGTAACACCATTAGCTTCCCTGTGCCCAATTCTAGTTTTCAAGGATTTTTTTCTTCCTTAAGTTTTTGATTCTCTATTTCTGGTTGACTTTCTTTTCATAATTTTCTTCATTTTCTTGGATTACTCTCATTCCCCCCCCCCACCTAATTTTCCCTCTATCTCTCTCAGTTGACTTGTAAAATCCTTTTAAAGTTCTTCCAAGAACTCTTTTTGGGCTTGTGACCATTTATTTCTCATTGAAAAAGGAGTGTTTTTTTTTTAAGCTCTACTATCTTCCTCTGAATACGAACCCAGATCTTTTCTATCCCCATAGTAGCTACCTATTGTTGGGTTCTTCCTCCTTTGCTTACTCATTTTTTATTTTATTGTTAGCAGTTTATTTTTATAATCAAGTCCTAGTTCCTAAGTGTGGGGAATGATGCCCTAGGCCTCAGATCCTTCTTACTGTTATTTCCTGAGCTCTGTCCTGGAGTCCAACCTTGGACATTCCTCTCTACCCCTAAGTCATGGCTAGGGCTCCTAGCTAGGCTGTCCCCAAAATGCTCTTGCTCCCTGTGGTCTCCCTCTGGTGGCTGCAAACTTTAACTGTCTTGTCTGCCCTGGAACTGAAACAGCATCTCTAATCTCCAGCAAATGCCCATAGCTCCTCTGCTATTGCACTCACCAGGTATGTGCTAGCTCCTTTGCCCCCACAGCTGCAGACAGGGACCATATTTGGTCAGCACAGCTGTGGTTGGTGTCCCTGACAATTTTCCTTCAATCATCTCTAACTTAGCTGTGCAACCTCCACACTGTCCCTGAGGTGGAAAGTTCCTGAGGCTGAGGCTGACTCCCAACCCAGCTGCCCCAAGGCTTGTTGTTTGTTGATTCCACAATCAACCTGGAGGTGCTTGCATTTCACTCTGGACAAACTTCTATCCTTGGAAGTCAAGTCTTTCCTGGGATCTTCTCAAGCTGTCTTAGGAAGACAACTGCTTTACTCTGACTTTTGTTTATTTCTGCTACTCTACATTCCCTTGAGATGTTCTTTTTTTGTGGAAGAAATTTGGAGAGCCTGAAGTTTTCTGACCCATTCTGCCATCTTCCTAGAATCCTCATACCCATCTTTTTTTTTTTTAAACGATATTCTTCTGGTGATACTACTGGCTGTGAATGCTATACCATATTTTCAGGATGATCAAAGTTGTAGGTATGAGAATGGACAGCAGGCTGCCTAACAGATGACAGGTGTGTGTAAACAACGGTGACTTGTATGGGAGAAGTGGAGTAAAAGACACCAACATGGTGTTGGTATGAGTATGAATGAGCATAATGTGAGAAGAAGGTAGGCTGGTTGTGTCCCACAGAGTAGGAGTGAGGGTTAAGAGAGGACAGAGTGGGGCAGCTAGGTGGTGCAATGGATAGAATACTGGACCTGGAGTCAGGAGGACACTCGACACTTATTAGCTGTGCGATCCTGCGCAAGTCACTTAATCCCCAATTGCCTCGCCATTGAGAAAGAGAGAGAGAGAGAGAGAGAGAGAGAGAGAGAGAGAGAGAGAGAGAGAGAGAGAGAGAGAGAGAGAGAGAGAGAGAAACTGTACTGGCATCCACAGAATAAAAAAAAAAACCCAACAACAAAACCAAACTAACCAAGAAAGTGGACTCCAGCATGTTGGCTAACACATCTATTAGACACTTACAAAAAAATAAACCCAACAACACAGATACAAGCAAAATATACAGGATAAGAACACATGCATGGTCTGCAATCTGTATTGGTGTGTGTGTGTGTGTGTGATTTCCCTATTCATGAGATCACGAATCCACTGAAATGATATAGAAATTGATGACTTCCTGGCCATCCCCATGTAATGTGAACTACTCTCCAGCCTTCATCTTCACCTCTTATCAAAAACTGAAGGATTCTGGGCTGTAATTGTGAGCACTTCACTTATCTTGCCTCATCTCAGACTCGCCATGTCATTTCTGGCCATCTCCTTGCTATATTACAGAGTGCTTAATCTCCTCTCCTCCTCAAACTCTTGCTGGAAGAATAGTAATCAATTCTGAGGCACCATTCCCTCTATGTACATATCAATCAATTGCCTTATTACTTCAGACATCATTCTTTCTAATTTCTTTATTCAAAGCATTCCTCTCTAGCCACCACTCACCTGTATGTATTATCTTCCCAGGTTAAAATGTAATCACTTTGAGGGCAGAGGCTGCCTTGCTTATTTCTATTTGTATCCCCAGCACTTAGTACAGTTCCGGGAACATAGTAAGTGCTTAATAAATACATTTTTATTGATTTGTTATACATGCTAAAAAAAAAGCAGTGATCACTTTGGGGTAGTCAAGGAAGAATTTATTAAGACACCTCTATTTCAAGGTTTAGGTTAAATTTCATTTCCTTTATAGGTGAACAAAAATCAGAGTAGTCCAAGTTATAGAATCATAGGGTTAAGAGAATTCAATCCACTTTTGTTCAGATAAGGAAATTGAGGTCTAGATCTATAGTGCCATAGGTCATTAAACTCCCTAGATGAGGAGTTAGTTCAATGGATTAACACTGAGTTTGACTTATTGTGATTCCAAGTACTGGTCTGGCCTTTAATATGTAGTTATGAGAACTGTGAAAAAAAATCATGGAGGTGGGAGAACACAAGATACTGTTTATCTGGTAAATTGATAGTAGGTGAGTCTATTTGTAGTATAGGACTCATGTAGGAACATAATGAAAGTTGGTGCTGGAAAGGTAGGTTGGTATTACAAAGACGTCTTGAATACTAAGGCAACAATCAGACTTTGTCCTAGATAGATTGTGGCACCATTAAAGACATAGCTCAGAAGAATCAAGTTAAAAGGATATTTTAGGAAATTTACTTGAGCAGCACTGTACAAGCTAGATTGGAGGGGACAGCAGTTAGCAGAATACTACATCCATTTACTCATGAGATGATGAGGGAATGAAGTAGGATGGAACTCATGTCAATGAATGGGAGAGGGGACTATAAAAGAATTGGATATGGGGTAGAGAAAACCATTTTGGGAAGGTATCACAGTAGTCTAGGTCAGAGGTAATGAAGGATTGAACTAGGGTGATGGCTATGTGAGAAAGGAAAAGAGAACAGATTCAAGAGATATTATGGAGGTAGAAATGACAAGATTTCGCAAGTGACTGGATATGTGGGATGAGGGAGGGTAATGAGCTGAAGATGATACAGGCTGTGAAACTGGGTGACTGGAAAGATGGTGATGCTCTCAAGAGTAAGAAGGAAGTCTGGTAGAGGGATGGGTTTGGCCTGGGGGAAAGATAATGCAATGAGATCTCTAATGCAGATCACAACCCATCTATGCCTGCTTATCCTGGGTGACTTACTATGTCACACACAACTAAGATGGGAAGTGGGTCTCTTACTGAGGAAGGAATGCCTTCCACAGCCATACCATGATCTAGAGGATGAGAAAAGGGATAGATTTTCTAAATGGTAACTGCATAGCTACTGCCATGGAGAATCTGGGTAACAGTTAGGTGTAGTTGTGTTGGAGACAAGCACTATAACATGTTATCATGGAAAGGGTGGGATACAATCATTTTTCTACCCTGTGATTGAACACACAAATCCACACTAGTGTCAGGTACACACCCCACTTCAGAGACCATTGGCTTAAAATGTTAAGTCTACATCCTTTTGCCATGTTTTGTGGCTTGTAGCATAGGTTTAAAGTTGGGAGAGACTTTAGAGGACATCTAGTTCAATTCCCTCATTTTACAGATGAGGAAACTGAGGCCCATTGAAGGTAAATGACCTGCTCATGGTCTCATTGTAATAAGCATCTGAGCCAAGATTCCAACTCAGGTCTCCTGATTCTATATCCAGCCCTTTCACAGTACATATATAGGGTGCATGGGTTTTCATAAGGAACAAATTCACTCTCGAAGGTTAGTTCACAAAGTCTCCAGATAAGAAAACAAACAGGTGCTAACAAAACATTTTATTGTAATTCTGCAACACCCATAGTACAATATAGTTTCTTCAGCTACTGCTTTTAAAATCAGAAATAATTACTGTTAAGATGAAAAATATTCCCATTACACAAAATATGCCTTACAAAAATGCCTCCTCTATTTATACATATTTCATTATACATCCTACTTTCCCCAAAAACATAATTGACTGGGTGATTTTTAAAAAATGGCTTAGTTTGTTCTTGCAAGCAGAATGAAGTCCAGTTTTGTTTATTATTTCCTTGAAAATCAACTATGAAAATATAAAATTATACATCAAGCAAGTTAATTTTTATAAAGTACAATTTCCCTAAGTCCAAAGCCTTCTGATTACTCATTCTACTCGTTGACTATGGAAAGGAGAATTAAAATTCAATGGAATGGTGGCTCAGATAGACAGTAATATGGCAATTAACTTGGTGAGATAATATTGTAATCACCATTGCAATTACTTAAGAGTTTTTTTCTTCATTTACTCAGATCTTCACCTCATGTCTCACAGTGATGTGAAGATGACCGTGGCTTCCTGAAGGCTGGGCCAATGGAGCATAAGTGCCAGCTACAAAACTCTTTGAGTATGTGCCTGGAGATGGACTAAATGTGGTCATTGCTGGTGGGTGGACGACCAAGTGTTTAATTTTTTCAGCCACAAAAATTCACACAACAATTTTTTTAAAGCATCAGGCAGCTGTGCTTTGTGTTAGGAGATGTCGTACCTATCACACTGATGGAATCATGGGTCTCTGAAGCACAGTATACCACAATGGGATTTATGCTACTTTTCAAATATAAAGTACTTTATTTTAACATTCTTATTAGAGTCTCTCAACAATCCTTAACACTAGAATCAGGTCTATCAGTTGATGCAAAAATTTGATTATAATTTTATTTTGAAATAAAATTTTTTGCCTACTATTTTCTTCGCTTTATGAACAACCACATACACACATAAAAAATACATTGTATCAATTGACGCAGCTTGGTACCACAAGGTATTCTTAAATTCCAGTCCTTGAAGCATCTGAACTTTTGAAAGCAGTTTTGCAGGTAAAATGCAGGGAGTAGAATGGAAGGGCAGGAAGTACAAATTTACTAATTATTTTCACACATCCCCCTTTTGTTGTCCAGGTAAAACCAAGCCTTTAAGGGGGAGTTTGTGGTTTCTGCTGTATAAGGTAGACAGGAAAATGACTAATTCTCAAAGTCTTAAACTAGCTCACAAATTATCCATTTTAGTGGACCTACTTTTAGAACAAGAACAATTCCCTGAAATCCAGAACACCAAGGGTCTATAGCCATTTAAGACTACTCAGTGCGAGACAGATTGCTTTAAAAACAAAACCAAACCAAAACAAAACTAGGGGAAAAGTCATCTAATTCTGCATAGTGATTCTTCCAGCAATAATAATAGTTAAGGTTTGCAAAGCATATAAAATAACACATCTAGCAAGTTAATTTTTATATCTAAAGTACAACTTCCCCTCAGAGCCCAAAGCTTTCTGATTATTTGTTCTGTATATTTCATGTATATTTATCTTATTCGATCCTCACAACAATTCTGGGAGTTAGATGCTATTATTAGATGCAGATGAGGAAACTGAGACAGAAAAAAGTTAAGTGACTCACTCAGGGTCATATGGCTGTCTAAGGCAGGATCTGGAGTTTGATGCTGACTCATAGCACCACCTAGCTGCAAAGTGGTAACTTACCTATATGTTGACAAGAACAACATTTAAAACAAACGTCAGGGTCAAATTCTCATTTACTACTTTGTGAGTTTGTTTTTTCTCATTGTCATCTATTAACATGGAAAGGTCCCTGGGACACATGACTCTATATTGCTAGAAGTTCAATTCCAGGTAAAACCAGATAGGTTTAACATCCCTTTAATTTCAGGATTTCTATGAATGATGCTCAATGGCCCTTTATTGCCATGACTACTACTGAAAACATGCTTCCAAGTTTACCTGAATAAAGAAACACAATAGCAGCTAGGCCTCGATCCACCAAAAAACTTAATGAAAGTAAGGCAGCATCCTGAAATGTTTACATTCCAAGGTGCTCTATTGGAAGTCAGTGCAATCATTACCAGGAACTATTTTTTAAATGTTCCAAAACAAAACTAATGAGTGTCACTAAAGTGTGACTGCTCATCTGGACCCTGATTATATGGTATCAAGCCTCAAATTTGCCATCATTAATCATAGAAGTGCAGCTGTTCTGCAGAAATAATATTCCACATTTAGCCATAGGCAGTCTGCCAAGTATCAGAGAAGACAGGATTTCTAAAAGTAAGCTTCAATCACTGTTTTTTATAAACTCACTCAGAGAGCAGCGGCCCCTTCCTATTCCTTCCCAACCTACCTCAGGCTTTTGCAGACTCATCAATCTCCTCTCACTGAATTACCTGGTGATTCTATTTGAGGATCAGTCAGTTTCTTTAAGTTCTGCTGACATAATGGGAGGTACAGACATTCACTCTATCACAGAGTGTAAGAATTAGAGAGGAGCTCAGAGATCATCGAGTCCAACCACCTCATTTTACTGAGGGAAAAGAGGCCAGAGAAGGTGACTTGTCCTATCTAGGCCACAACCTGGGTACTTGACTCAGTTATGCTGTTGCATCCCAGTCTGGCAGTCTTTGGGTATGTGTGGTTCTTTTATACCAAACTCATAGTAGTTAATGTTAAGTGGATATTTGTTTTTCAAGTACAGCTGCTTAAAACCAGGGATGGTAATGAGTGATTTACACACACACACACACACACACACACACACACACACACACTCTCTTCTCTCTCTCTCTCTCTCTCTCTCTCTCTCTCTCTCTCTCTCTCTCTCTCTCTCTCTCTCTCCAAAATGCTTAAGACTTAAGAGACAAGTTTATATGCTGTGTTTATGAATCAAGGCTTGCTCCCTGAAGCCTTAAAAAAACCCACCTTCCGAAAGTATCTGACAACTAGTGGCAGAGAAAATAATGTGATGCTAATTCTTACTGGGGCAAACAGTTTGTGAATAGCGTAGGCCATCACAAATGTACTAGTGCCGGTGACAATCTTAGAGCCGTGGAGCGATTCTGCAAACCCGAGTTTGAAGAGAAAGGAAGATACATCTACACCACTGGAAAAGAAAAAGATAAGAAATGTAATTATCACCACAGGGCCCTTCAATCCTTGGGAATTATACTTATTATTAGAGGCTACTTAACTGTGAGAGAAAGAATTTCCTGTAGTGTGGTAAGTGTTGAGAAGAGCCAGATGAGCAAAAACTATGCTAGTCAGCATGAATTCAGTTTTTATTCATATGCTTATATGATAGGTGCTGTCATTTTAACAGTATAAATTAATACAGTTAAGTTTCGGGTACAAAGCACCTTGATTTACATTATCTCACTTATTCCCCACAATGACCCTCTGAGGAAGGCAGTGCAAGGATATTATCCTTGCTTATAGTGGAAGAAAGTGAGATTCAAGAGATGTACTTCCCTCTAGATCTTACAGCTACAGACTGGAAGTGAAGAGAAGCATTAGAGAGGGAATATGAGAAAGTGCACGTCTGGAAGTGGAGAGCAAACATCTGGGATGGGAGTTGGTTGGGTGGAGGGGGTTGTCTGGGGTAGGGGGAAGGAAGGTGTGCATCTTGTGTTGTGGATGGTGGGAATGTGGAAAGCACATTGGACTTGCAATCAGAGAACCTGGGTTCAAATTATGGCTGGTTGTACTTCCTATGTTACCCTGGGCCAAATCAACATCTTGAGATCTCAGTTTCCTCCTTTGTAAAATGAAGAAAATAATCTCGATGATTTCTAAGGCTTCTTCAACTAATACTGATGATGGTGGGTGATGACAGCAGCTTAATGTATATGTATACACACACATATATATCCTTAGGGTTTGAAAAATGCTTTAAATATATTATTTCATTTGATCCACACAACAACCATTTGAGATAAATGCTATTGTAAGTCAGTCAAAAAGCATTTATTAAGCACTCAGTATGCAAAGCATTGTGGATGCAAAGTAAAGACAAAAACATGGTTCCCGCTCCTCAGAGAGGTCCTATTCTAATGGAGGAAACAACATGAAAATAACCATATACACTGTACACACACACCCATGCATATGTGTGTGTGTGTATATAATATTTAACAATGATAAATAATATCTAAGTAAGAATCTTAAATTGTAGGATCCTATATAAGACCTATACTCATGTCCAGTGCTCTTTCTACTGTATTGGAAAAAAGACAGTTTGCTGTCAAAAAAGTGTCAGAAGTCACTGGTAGCTTTAAATAATTAAATAATTTAGGTTGCAGTCCTTACTTGAAACGCTTTTTTGGGGGGCGGAGGAATGGGAGGGGAAGGAGTGGGTGGAACCAGGCCTGAGATTTCAGTGGTTATGAAATTGCCTTTAGCAGCTTCTCTGCGATTTATGATCTCAGAAAATCTGCTGGGAGTAGGTCAGAGGTTAAGCAATTTGTGCAGGGCCTCAGAAGTACATACGTCAGAGATGGGAACTCAACCCAGGTTCTCCTATCTCCACAGTCAGCTCACTATCCTTTTGTCTCTCTTCCTGATGCAATTCTTAAAGAACAAAGGCCATACCTTGAAACAACCAAGTAGAATATTCCCAAAGATGTTAATGAGATCCCAATATGCAATGAAACAGCTACAGCTCCATATTCTTTAAAAACCTTTTTCAGCTGCTGGCGTTTGCTTTGTTTGTTCTCATCCATAATGCTGGAGTCTGTGGGTGCTCTCTCTGTTTTCTTTGGGTCCTGTATACAAATAGGAGAAAGCTTAGAAATTTAGAATAGGTATAAGAATAGTAATAACGTCTGACCTTGTATAGAGGGCTTTCAGACACATTATCTCAATTTGATTCTCAAAAAAATTCTGTGAAGTATCAGAGCAGAAATATTGTGGGAAAAACCCTGGACTGGGAGTCCTAGACTAGATTCTAGTCCTATCTCCGCTAATTTAATAATAATACCTAACATTTATATAGAGCTTACTATGTGCCAGGCACTGTGCTAAGCACTTTAATAATAATAAAAATAGCTAACATTTATACAGAGCTTACTATGTGGAAGTCTTTATTACTATGTAAATAAATAATAATAAATAATATTTTTTAAAGTAATAAATTATAATTGTAAATTAAATGATTATTTAAAGTAAAGTAATAACTTTATTATGATTAGGTTGCTCTGTTTAGATGCCTTTTATTGCACTGACTTGCTTGCTACTTCTACCAAACAACACCCTCTCTCTGTGTCTTTGCATTGGCTATCCTCAATGCCTAGAATTCACCCCTCATTTTTATCTTCAAGAATCCCTGGCTTCCTTCCACATTCAGCTCAATGTCACCTTCTGTTGGAGGCCTGTCTTGATCCCTCCCCAGCACTCAGAGCTAGAGATGCCTTCCCTCAGATTTACTTCCATCCACTCGTATGTATAATAATAACAACAACAGCGTTTATATTACATGTTGAAGTTTGCTAAGCACTTCACAAGCATCTCATTTAATTTTCACAACAAGCCTGGCAAGTAGGTGCTATTATCATCCTTATTTTAAAAATGAAGAAATTGAGACACTTACGTGTTACGTGACTTGTCCAGGGTCATACATCTAGTTAGTCAGGATTTAAATTCAGCTCTTCCTAACTCCAGGGCCAGTGCCCTATCTGCTGTACCATCTATCTACAGGTATCTTGTATGTACCTAATTATTTATAGGTTGTCTCCCTCACTGGAATGTGAACTCTCTGAGGGTTTTGAACAGTTTACCCCTTTCTTTGTACCCCCGGGGCTTAGCATAGTGCCTGTTAAGAACTTAAAAAATGCTTGTTGATCAAATATTTTTAAGAACACATGATTTTAGAGCTGGAAGGGCACCTGAGACATCATTTGCTCCCATCTCCTCATTTTACAAAGTAACAAACTATTGCCCAAAGACGGAAAATGACTTGCCTAAAACAAAAAAGATTTGTAAGGAACCATATTGAAAGTAGAATCCAGGTCTACTGACTTTGAATCCAGTGAGGCTACTGGTGGTATGGTGGATACAGAACTGGCTGGGAGTCAGGAAGACCTGAGATCAAATCCAGTCTGAGACATCTGCTAACTGTGAGACTCTGGGCAAGTCACTTGACCTCTTTTTCTCTCAGTTTCCTCATCTGTAAAATGAGGAGAATATTAAGCACCTATCTCCCAGAGTTGTTATAAGGATGAAAATGAGGTAATATTTCTAAAAATGTTGTGAGCAATGCCTGGCACATAGTAGGTGCTACATAAATGCTTATTCTGTTCCCCAGTGTTATTTCCACTCTAGCCTGCTGTTCTTTAATAGGGGGCAACAATTTCTTGAAGTCTAAGAGACCCTCAAGATAGATGCCAATTGACTGTTAGTATAAGCAGTTACTTTCATTTATTGACTTTGCTACCAGTGTTTTCCCTAAGGCTATCATGCTCTTTGCGGTTGCCTATATTATGGCTCAAATGGATAGACTTTAAAAGTACCTGGGGGAAAGGAGAAGTCAAACAAACAGCAGTGTCAGGGCTCCTTTTGGGGAGGACACCAAGATACCTGAGGGAGAACTCTCACAAAAGCAAGTTTCTACATAAAAGGGACTCACAGTGAATGATGCCAAGTGGTGCAGTGGATAGAGCACTGGGCTTGAAACCAGGAAGATGCATCTTTTGAGCACAAATCTGGCCTCAGACACTTATTAGCCCTGTGACCCTGGGCAACTCACTTAACCCTGTTTGCCTCAGTTTCCTCATCTGTAAAATGAGCTGGAAAGGGAAAGGGTAAACCACTCCAGTATCTTTAACAAGAAAACCCCAAATAGGGGTTATGAAAAGTTAGACACGACTGAGATAACTGAACAACAGTGAATGACAACAGGACAGAATCAATACTCCCAAAGTTTTTCTTCCCCAGCTTTGACACTGGATATTGGATTTCTGATCTGTGATCCCAGAAAGGCCTGACTTACTTTTTTAGGAGAGGGCTGTGGAGACCTGGAATTGGGATCTTGAAGTGGAGAGATGGGAGTGAGAAACTGAACAGAGATTTTCAGTCTTACTGTACGTAACCCCGGCCTCAGCCAGGCAAGACACACCTATTTGAAGTTTCCCATAGACAGAAGTAAATATCACCTGAGTCTCAATGGGGCCAAAGGTACTACCAGAATTATCTTGACATCTCCTATTCAGAGCAGGAAAATTGCAGAAGTGAGGATGAGTAAGGAGAAGTGAATCAAGCAACACAGAGCAGTCCAGGGAAGAGAACATGTGTAGTAGGGTAAGAAGAGGTCTCAGGTCTTGTGCAGGGTGCAGAAACAACTCAACTGGCAACTTTGTAACTCAGTTTTGAGCCACAGATCCAGGGCAGACTGAGGAGGGAACCTGTGCCTAGGGAGTGATTGTGGTTTTCAAGTTGCACACTGAGTAAAGAGTGAGTTCCTGTTGTGTCTCTGCCCCCAGGAACTGGTTTGAATCCCAAAGCAAAGGGGAGCCTGCAGTGCTGTCACTCTGAACCTCCAGAGATGTCCATCTGGTTGATGATGGCTGAGTCCATCAGCAGTCTACTGGAACTCTAAGCAGGGTAAGTCCACAGCCACATTACTCAGACCCAAACCCAGGTCAGGAACTTGTAGTATTCACACCAGGAGGTGAAAAAAAGTCACTCTGGAAGTTCCCCAGCCTCTGGGATCCTTGAATACAATAATGCTCAATACCCCAAGAAAGCAGCAACAGGAATAGCCCAGACATTCTCTCCAGAAGTGCTCAGAGCCTGGCCCTAACACAAAAATCAGAAGTCAAGAAATAGGCTTGAAGAATTAGCAAACAAACAAACAAAGAATCCTACAGTAAAGACCTATGGCGACAGGGATGCTTAACATTCAAACCTAGAAGCAGAGTAATGATTCCAAAATATCTACAAAGAAAGTAAAAACATTGCTTGGGCACAAATTCAGCTAAAATTCCTAGAAGACATGAAGCAAGAGCTAAAATTTTTTTAAATGTTTTTTTAAATGTTTTTTAAAATTTTATTAATGTATTTTGATTTATCAATAATCACTTCCATATGCTTTTGAGTTGAAAATTTTTCTCCCCCTTCCTCCCTCCCACCCTCTCCAAGATGGCACACAATCTGATATGGGCTTTACATTTACATTCCTATTAAACATATTTTCACATTAGTGAAGTTGTAAGTAAAAATTAAAACCAATAGGAGGAACCATCAGAAAGATGAAACAAAACTCAACAGAAGGTAAAAATAAATGATAGCGCTTCGACTTCCATAGTTCTTTCTTTGGATGTGGACAGCATTTTCCATTCCAAGGCCTCTGGAGATGTCTTAGATCCTTGTAATGCTGAGAAAGGGTCAGTTTAACAATGTTAGTCATCACATAATGTGGCTGTTATTGTGTACAAAGTCCTCTTGGTTCTGCTCACTTCACTCAGCATCAGACCATATAAGTCTTTCCAAGTTTTTCTGAAGTCAGCCTGTTCATCATTTCTTATAGCACAATAGTATTCCATTACATTCCTATACCACAACTTGCTCAGCCATTCCCCAATTGATGGGCATCCTCTCAATTTCCAATTCTTTGCCACCACAAAAAGAGCTGCCACGAATATTTTTAAAAATGTTTTTATGAAGAAAATTTATAGGGCTAGAATAAATAAATTGGAAAAGAAATGAAAGTCATGGAAGAAAGAATTGGAAATAGAATTAAAAGCTTGGCACAAGAGGTCTAAAACTTAACCTAAGCAACAAACTCCCTGACATTAAAATGAACCAAATGGAAACCAATGACTCCATTAGGCATCAAGAAATATTAAAACAAAGTCAAAAGACTGAAAGAATAGAAGAAAATATAAGTTATTTTATGGTAAAAATAACTGACCTAGAAGGAGAATTTAAGAAACTTCAGACAATCTGAAAGCCATGACTAAAAAAACAACAAAAACCCAGATATTAGTGATGTGGATAATGTCCTATTTGCCATACTTATCAGAGCCTTAAACCCAATTCACTTTTTTTTTTAATTTAAGTTTTTTTTAGGCAATTGGGATTAAGTGATTTGCCCAGGGTCACACAGCTAGTAAGTGTCAAGTGTTTGGTCTGAGGTAGGATTTGAACTCAGGTCCTCCTGACTTCAGGGCTGGTGCTCTATCTACTGCACCATCTAGCTGCCTCTAACTTACCAGCATCAAAAATGAAAAAGGCGAGTTCTCAATGAAAAAAATAAATTTATTGTGAACTATTTCATCCAACTTATATGCCAATAAAACTGACAATTAAATGAGATGGATGAATATTTACAAAAATATAAAATGCCCAGATTAACAGAACAAGAAATAGAAGACAACATAGAAAATGAACTTGAATAAGCCATAAATGAACCCTCAAAGGAAAAAAGAATACCTTCAAGGCCAGATGGATTTATGATGGAATTCTATCAAACCTTTAAAAAACAACTAATTCTAATATTACATAAAGTATTTGGAAAAACAGGAAAAGAAGGAGTCCTACCAAATTTCTTCTATGATATAAATGTGGCCTGAATGTCCAAACCAGGGAGAGTCAAAACAGGTAAAGAAAACTATAGACCAATATTCCTAATGAATAACTGATGAAAATTTAAAAAACATATATTAGCAAGGAGTAGAGCTATGAAGGATGAGGCCTTAGTTCCATTTACATTAAACAAGCAGACCAAATTCTATGGACACTTGGATATTTACATTATTTTCCACTCCCC